GTGTACATCATTTACAACAATAATAACAACAAAAAACAGTGGTCGTAAGAACGCTTATAGTAAAGAAAATAAAAATGTGTCTTTTCTCTCTCACACTGTTGGCACTATTTAATTTAATAAGCCAACTTTTTGCTCCTGCCTGTATCTATCAAAAGTCAATAAGAAAAACTACTTTTTGAGAATAGCCTCTGTGTTTGGTCAATTGTGAGATTTTCCCCCAGATTTCTCAGCTCTTGTTAGAAATCGAAGGTTGTAACATAATTCTAAAGTTAGCTTCTTGAGTTGCTTCTTTATTCTGCTAAAGTTGTAGATTTTATTTCATTTTAGCATAGACTGTGCTCCTCATTCCAACTGCTCTATAACTGGTGATGACATTTAAAATGAAGGATCTTTTAATCTTGATTTAATATTCTACTTTAACGACAACTATTGAACTCCTTTTATGTGTTAAAATCCATTTAATGAGTTCCTTTCTCCCAAAACACATGCATGTATTTCTGGCCTCGGTCACATCTTTTTCAGACTGAAAATCCGATCATAACCTTGTCCCATTGTGTCTAGTTATGTTTTCCTGAAAGTCCTGAGTTAGTACCATCGCTTTGCCCAGAGTTGTAGCGTAAACAAGCAGCTGGCCATTGTTCCAGGTTTGCATTAAATGAAGAAAAAAAAGGCACACATGGTTCTTTCTGGGCTGTGTACATGCAGCACAGAGCGGGCAGGTGCTCAACGTTAAAGTCAGCGTCTCTTTGAAATGGGTTACACTGAGCTTTGATGTCCCCACACACAGAAACCCTCTCAGCACCGGGCCTGGGACTGTTTACCATACAGATGATTCACACACAGGAATGCAGCTCCGAGAAGGGACGCTGGGCAGGACTGCACCTCAGAGGGACCAGAGGGACCAGAGAGGGACCAGAGCGGGACCAGAGAGGGACCAGAGAGGGACCAGAGAGGGACCAGAGAGGGACCAGAGAGGGACACTGGACATAACTGCACCTCCATGCCACCAGAGAGGGACTCTAGTTAAACATTAGAACTCCCAGAGCAGTCAATTTGACAGCTTTTAGTTTCAAAAGTGTAATGACATGCTCGTGTTTTGGTCTTCATAACCTTGTGAATCTTTCTGTTTCTATATGTCGTTATTTTCATTAAATTATATGTTATTTATTGAAATGTGAGAAGTTCTACCTTTAACTCCCAGAGCCGTCATTTTGACTGCTCCACTCATTTTAATGTGATTTTCAATGGCTCGGCTAACAACATTCTATGGCACTTAAAGCCACGTTTCTGCAAGGTTCTGGTCACGGATCATTTGTATTATTATTATGGTCATGGATCTATTTTATATCTGGTTTATTTTGGTTTTCCTACAGAGCAGAGCAGGTGTTAAGAGTAAGACAAATAACTTACCCCAGCTTTAACCAAAGGACATATTCAAATTTAAATGTATATATAATGAAATCCTGCTTCTCAATGACTTATTTATGCTTCCTATTGTGGCATTTCCTGATTTATTATTGTATATAAAACATAATATAATCATTGTATATAGACGTTTGATTCTCTAATCTGTTATTGACCAGTTGACACTTTTGACTACAGCTCTTGGGAATAAGGGCTATAAAAAACAAATAGATTTACAGTATATCTCGGACATCTATCTCGGCAAAACAACTGAACAATTCTAAAGTGTTTTCACAATCCATCATTCGTCTGTCTTTTGCGGTTGTTGTGGCATTTCTTTTTTTCCTCTGGATGATGAAAACTGATTCTAATTACTCCTCCTGTGTGCAGCCGTGGAAGTAAATGTGTTAAATGATCCATTGCATTACTTTGTGTCTTTGCTGTAAATCCCATAACCACTACATACTTATTTATTCAAGCCTGTATCACAAAAGATTCCGACGCTGAGCCACTTCTCTCTCGAGCACTCTTGGCGCGTCCTGCAGTTCTTGACAATGATGTTTACAGTTTCTAACGACGACCAAAAACCATTCTGTCAAAATATCCCCAAATGATGACGTTGGGCTGAAGTTTAACTAGAAATTCGCAGCCGACTTCCTGGTTTTTGAATCGGTAGCTTTCTATCGCACCACCACCACTTGCCAGATGTCCGGAGACCGCATAATGTAATCAACAGCATCTAATAAACTTAACATACATCTCCACTTACTGTTAAAGAGGGCGAGGAGATTTAACGCTGGTGGTGAACGGACGGGTTGAATTTAATTAGATTGGTCCATTCAGGAGGCATTCATCAACTACCGTTATTCACGCACACAAACTTGGACCGAAGTGAGACCGGAGGCTCTGCTGTTGGGTAGATCCGCAAACTAAACTGGTCCAGACATGGATTAAAGGGCAGGGGTTGTACACTTCTTCATTATGAGATCAATGGAGACATTTTTTTTTATTTGAATGTTTTGAATGCTTTTTTACTTTTACTGTGATTGCATGAATGTTTTAGTGGATTTTATTATAAAGTGCTTTGGTCGTCTTAAGTGTTGTAAAGGGCTCTATGAATAAAAATGGATTCCTATCGTATCTTAGAACATGGATGGATGGACCTACTCTTACTCTTAAATCTTTTCAAACTTTGTCATTGGTTGAACTCAAATCCACCAGTAGTAGAGACCAGTCGAGACCAAAAATGCACACCTAAAACGTCAATGCTTTGTTTTGAGTGATGAGCATATTTTCCCTGGAATCATTTCACACAATTATATTTTTATCGCCTAATTTATACTTTCATTGTTGTTCTGATTGAATGGTAATTTAGCCAATCAAATCTATCGTTGCTGACTGTCTGTGTCTTTTCTACAAGCAGTTGGTGAGGGCATGGCGTTGTTAGTGCTTCTGCTATATTTACCACTTTAGTGTGTGTGTGTGTTGTGCGTGTATGTGTGTGTATATTGTGTGTTTGTGTGTGAGCGCATGTGGCTTTAAATCACCTCATTAATCATTTTTCTGTGCCGAAGATATAATGCCGAGGCCACCGTCCATTAGGGAAAATCATTCTGCCTGCTCTGACAGGACGCACACACAGACGCACACGCACACACACACTCACTCTGTTTGTGTGACGGAGAAGGAAGGTGCCAGATTCTCCCTGAAAGACTTCTTAGGCTCCTTTACCTGCAGGATTTGTGTTATCGGGACACTTGTCATGGGGATATAGAATGGCATTAGATTCATTCTTCAGCTTTACTGTGTCTTAATGGAACACCCGGGACCTGGCTCCGCATCGACACAAACGTGCTTTTTTAAAACATAACTCATCAGACAAAAGCCTCACTGCGACCGCATTTACGCACATGCATGAATTTCAAAATGGCTTTGAGGAAGACCTTCAGTAGACCCTTCAGTTATCTTTTGCATCCTTGTAAGAACGAGCTAGATCTGTACGATATTGGGGGCGACAGTAGCTCAGTTGGTTGAGCATTGGCCTGAAGGTCGTGGGTTCGGGGGCAAGACACTTAACCCCATGTTGCCTTGCCCGAAGCCCCGCTGAAAGACCAGGGCTGTGTCACTGTTGACGGAGCAGCCATCTCCCTGTGGACCCACCACCTGCAGAGGATCAGTGAGGGACTGGTGCAAACATTTTTTATTGCCCAAATAAAATGAATTAGCTTGAAACAAATGCTGTCATCTAAATTGGAAGAATTGAAGGTTACATACGTTGTCATTACAGCTACAGCAGGTGTGTTTAAGTTCAAACATGGCAAAGGATTGAGTTAATTTATTGTTGTAAAATGTAAAAATAAAGATTTTGGTGTAGAGCTGCAACTAACGATTATTTTGTAATCGATTAATCTATCGATTATTTTTATGATTAATTGAGTAATCGCTTGGCTGTGAATTGTGTGGAAAAAAAATATTTTTTCATCACAAAAAGCTAAAGTGGCCACACTCGAGGACGTTTTGATGGCGTAAACTTAAAGTAAATGTTTGTAACAGGCTCTTTGTGCTAATTCTGCTCTGATTGGATGAGACAGACAGATATTCATGAAATTATAAAAACAAAGTCGGTTTTAATCAAAAATACTACATTTTCATGTCATTTTTGCTCTGTTTGAGTCCGTGTGAACCAGAAAACGATTAATCGATTACTAAAATAGTTGTTGACTATTTCAATAATCGATTAGTCGTCGATTAATCGATTAGTTGTTTCAGCCCTATTTTGGTGGAATTGCCAGTGTGAGACCTGTGGGCGCCACGGTTGCTCAGCATGAAGTTCGAATCCCGGTCGGAACAGGGCCTTTCTGAGTGGAATTTGCATGTTATCCCTGTGTCTGCGTCGGTTTCCTCCAGGTACTCCGGTTTCCCCCTACCCCTTAAAAACATGTGCAATATTTCAGGTTGAATAAGTGTGTGTTTGTGAGTGTGAATGTGGGAGAACAGATACAAATTCTCCCATAGCTACAATCCGGAGAGGTGTGCTCATTAACATACACTGTCCCAACCAAATAAACAATAAATGAATAAATATATACCATTAAGGATCAGTTTTTGCGCAGAGTGAGTGACTGTTTTGTATTTGCCATAAACAATCCTTGTCTTTGTTTTTTCCCTCTCTGCGTTTTTGCCTCTGAAGCACATGGCTCTCCTGAAGCCAAACTCCTATGTTTTGGAACAGATCTTGCTTGTGATTGGTCAAAGGAAAAACAAGCAGAAGCATGAAAGACGGTCACTTACTAATAACTCAAAGCTGTCACACGTCATTGTGAAGATGGACGTCACACTTGCTAGAGCCCTGTGAGTCACTATTTAATGCTTTTGGCTGCGAGCTGATTGGTCGAGTGAGGGTGGTCCCTTCTTTTTTGATCTGATGATATGAAAATGAATTATAGAATCAATCTGTTTTGAGAGGATGGATTTAGTTTGACAGATGGTACGGATCTCCAGCTTTAAGTGATGTTAAATTATGCCTGTAAAACAATTTAAATTGCTATTTTGAAGTTAGATGGCTAATACCCCATGTTTTTGTTCTGTCCTTTCAGAGATCCGGGCGCAGTTGGTGGAGCAGCAGAAATGTCTGGACCAGCAGACAGAGATGAGGGTCCAGCTCCTGCAGGACCTTCAGGACTTCTTCAGGAAGAAGTCCGAGATCGAGATGGAATACTCTCGGAATCTGGAGAAACTGGCTGAGCGCTTTATGGCAAAAACACGGAGCACGAAGGATCACCAACAGTACAAGTAAGAGCGTTGCCAGACATGCTAATTCACAGAGGAAGCAGAGGAGGCTCGACAGTCTCATTTGTTTCCTAAATATAAAACTTATTTGATTTTCGGTGCCAGATGGAGCTCATTTTGGGTTCCAACATGAGATGAGATCTGGAGGTCCTAATGCAGTTATTGTGCAGATGAACTCAATCAGTCAGAGCCAGTCTGTACCAAACACTATGGTCTCCGTATTTAAACTATCAGCTCAATTAAAAACTGATTTATCTCATGCATTGTGGAAGTCTTCATCCATGGCACGGATGTATAAAAAACAATAAGAAAATACCTGAATATACACTACAAAATAACATTAGTTTTATGCGGTCAAACACTATTGCTACCAAATGTTTCTCACTGTGGGACGACTGAAAGTTTATGATGTTTTGTGGTTCTTTTGAAAGACCACTTGGATGTGTTACTTCAACATGTTGCGGCTGCAGAGCTGTGAGCCACCTTCTGAACTGTCACCCGCCTTGGTGACATGTCATTTATCAGCTGATGTTACTTCCTGAGTAGACGCGGTCAGCTTGATTTGACATGTCAGGTCGCTCAGATTCAGACTACTTTATTTATTTATTTTACATGGGGCCATCCGTTTGAGCACCACAGGGTGTAAAACACTTTTTTTTTTTAAACACACACATTTCAGACAGTAACATATGATATAATATGAAGTAGAGCCCAGTCAGCTCAGATTGACCACGCCCCTCTGGCCCAGTGGTCTCTGGAGGAGGGTGTCCCATGTGTGCGACAGTAGGAAGGCTCCCTCTTCTAGGTTGATTCTGTTGTTGCCCCGCTAACTTGTCTTTCAAAAGAACCACACAAAAACAGTTCAAGGTCCACCCTCAGAACAGTAATGAATGAGATGCAAATAGAGAACATATGTTGACCCACTACCTATAATAAAATGGCCCACTTCACTTCGAAAAGCACATGCCATTCCACCGTGATCCACCTCAGTGAGCTGAAGTTTCGCTGAACAAAAACATGTTCTGTTATTGAACCTGCTGCCTCCTCCTGAAAAAGACATTGACGTAGAAGTTGAAAATAAAACATGTGTTTGTCCTGAGTGTCTGCTCTGGCTCCAACGGCTCCAGCAGCTGTGTCTCTCTTCTGCTTTGGCAGCGAGCGGCTTTCATCTCGCGTCGCAGTTCAGTCTGGTCACTTCATTGGCGGAGTACAGACCGGTGCATATTTCCTAAGTAAATACAGGCGGACCGAATAACATTAAATCTCTCCAGTGGGTTTTAAATCATACGGCCTATATTTTTGTATGCACATAAACAGCCCCCGCACAGAAGCGCCTGTGTTCTCCGAGTCCTGCAGGTTGTTTTCACTGGACTCGTTAGAATGTGGTGTGAAAAGCAGTGTTTTTACTGAGCCGCAGTTCTCACATGACAGCCCGACTCTGAGGAAGTGGAGGAGCGGGGCTTAAACTGAGTAATTGGCCAAACTGCTGCAGGTTGTCAGGAATATCCGGTTGTGTACGCGCCACGGTTTAAGACATGTTAAATGTGTTTTCCACGTGAAAACTGTTGTTGATTTGTCGACCGCACTAGCTCCAGTTGCTACGTGACATAGTTTGTACAAATACTCCGCCGCTGCTGCCAAGGCCGACGTTCCCCCAGTATGAATAGGATTTTGTATTTGTTTACGTATCGTCATCTGTTCAAATACAACATTTGCATTATTCAAATTTTATTTAAAGTCTTATCCCAGCAGCTAACACCCAGAGCATTCAAGGAGACAAACCTGTACCTGAACAGGAAAAGAAAATACCTTTTCAATTCATCAGAACTTTAACAACTGCATAATACACACTAGGGGTGGGAGAAAACATTGATTCTGTTAAATATCGCGATATGATGTACATGCAATTAAATCTATACGGTATTCCAATATTTATGTTATTTTGAGTTTACTAATTTTGAGTAATTCCTCTGTAATGTTTGCTTTTTTTGACTCTAGTTTATTATATTTGAATGATCCAAGTGATATTCTGGGAGCTCAGCATTCATGTGAGAGGTCGCCTTCAGAGAATAATCACTTCTTGTTCTGTAAAAAGGTCCTTGTCCTGAATGTTCAAAGTTTTTGCACTTCAGGAAACGTGCAGAAAAATGGGACACTTGAGTTGAGCTGTCTTCTTTTCCTCAATTTTTGTAATATTATGAGGGCCATGAACCGTGATATATCGCAGAATCGAATCTCTATACTTACTGTATCGCAAAAATACTGAATTGTGGCCCAAATATTGTAATACAATCGAATCGTCACATTTTTGCCAATTCCCAGCCCAATACAAATACCTTAAAACTAATGTGTATCTCCACACATAAGTGTACTGTTAAAGTCTTTTTCATCGTCATACCCAGTACAAAGTTTATGTTTTTTTTTAATGTAGTGGTATGGAATCACTCTCTGCTCTGGAGGCCAAATCCGAGCTGCATTAATGAAAAGATTTTATCATCTGGCTACAATACTTTACCATTGTGCTTTCGGTCGGAGATAAGAACTCTTGTTTCAATGGCTGTGTCCAAAACGCTAGGCATCGGGCCGCGTAGGGTGGATATGTAGGCATCGTGACGTCACTTCCTCAAGCGACGGCTATTGCAGGGGTGTCCAAAACCACTTGGCGAGCTCGCCAAGCGTAGGCATCATGACTTCGTCTCTATGGAAACGGCCATTTTTGGAGCAGATATGAAGGATGCATCTGATGTATGCTTCGTTGCCTTCTTTTTGCCGAGTCACGGCCGCGCATGCGCAGAACTCCGTTTGGCATTAACATGTAAACAACAACTCGGAGCTGCTGGAGCTAACATTATGGTAAGCACTGCTATACTTTACTGTGAAGTTATGTCTATAGTAAGTACTGCTATACTTTACTGTTGAGTTATGAACACGACTGTTATGATAAAACACAGACATAAATTAGATCTGCCACAGAAGTGTGTATTTAACCTTGTTATCTGCTGTAAATAAGCTCAGTCCCGAAAAGCTAATGCTACGAGGCTAGTTCATTCAGATTCGGTTTTTGAACAAGAAAAATCATGTTGTGTTTTATCTTTTAGGGAGAAACAAACCCACTGATTAATTATTAAAGCTACACTGAGGAAATAGTCACGTTTTCATGGAAAATCACTACGCAGCACAGCAGCTATAGTATGCTAACACATGTTTTCTGTATTCATATAAAATAGATTGTGCATATCGTTTTTAATCCCATACTGAGACTGGGAAAACTGTATATATTAGACATATGAAATTATAGAATAGGCCAAGAATAATTATAAAGCCCTTTTCATACAATAGTCTAATAAATAGTAAACACACATTATACAGAGGTTTCGTTTGTCATGAATAAGACATTTGCAGAGGACAAAGTCCCACTTCCACAAACACAGGTTTAAAGTGGTTAGCCATGCTCATAACTTGATTATTTGGGTATATTTCTATCATATCATTCTTCTGTTTCCCCTGCTGTGAAGCTTGTATCTCTAATATTAAATACTGTAAGGATTTCTGTATTTTATTTTTAACCAGTTTTTTGCAAAGCCCCAAATAAATAGTATTAATTGAATATGAAGTGTAAAAAGAATCCTAAATGTGGGCTGTGTTTTAATGCATGATGTTTGTGTTCTTCTTTTTCAGAGACTTGTGGTGAAATTAAGGTCATAATTTCTCCAGCTTCACCTCCATCACCTCCTGCTTCACCTCCATCACCTCCTGCTTCACCTCCATCACCTCATCACCACATTATGAACTACAACAAACTTGTATATAATATTTTCCTTTAATCAGCAATCATGAATAGTTAGAACAGTGGGCTCTGCATCTCTGAAGACATGTAGCAGAAGGAGCAGCAGCAGAAGGAGCAACAGGAGGAGTAACAGGAGGAGTAACAGCTGCAGCAGAAGGAGCAACAGGAGGAGTAACAGCAGCAGCAGAAGGAGCAACAGGAGGAGTAACAGCTGCAGCAGAAGGAGCAACAGGAGGAGTAACAGCAGCAGCAGAAGGAGCAACAGGAGGAGTAACAGCTGCAGCAGAAGGAGCAACAGGAGGAGTAACAGCAGCAGCAGCAGGAGCAACAGGAGGAGTAACAGCTGCAGCAGAAGGAGCAACAGGAGGAGTAACAGCTGCAGCAGAAGGAGCAACAGGAGGAGTAACAGCTGCAGCAGAAGGAGCAACAGGAGGAGTAACAGCAGCAGAAGGAGCAACAGGAGGAGTAACAGCTGCAGCAGAGGGAGCAACAGGAGGAGTAACAGCTGCAGCAGAAGGAGCAACAGGAGGAGTAACAGCAGCAGCAGGAGCAACAGGAGTAACAGCAGCAGCAGGAGCAGCAGCAGGAGCAACAGCAGCAGCAGGAGCAACAGCAGCAGGAGCAACAGCAGCAGGAGCAACAGCAGCAGGAGCAACAGCAGCAGGAGCAACAGCAGCAGGAGCAACAGCAGCAGGAGCAGCAGCAGCAGGAGCAACAGCAGCAGGAGCAACAGCAGCAGGAGCAGCAGCAGAGTCCTGGGCGTCTGCCTCTGACACAGGTCTCATCGACAGCACTTCACAGAGAACCTGGAAATAAAGAAAACAAATCAAACTTGTTGGTTTTATTATGATTTTGTTGTTTGTGTGAAATGTAAAGAGTCATCAAAGTGAGGTATTATTTACACAACTACATATTTGTCAGCAGTACTTATACTTATACTTATAATTGAATACATTAAACTCAAATGTGATTAGTAACGGTCTGTTAGCTTTTCAAGAAATATAAAAGTGAATAAGAGCAGTGTCAAACATCTGTGTTCAACTCCATTTTACAGATGTCTGTTAATGTTTCCATGTGTCAGTTATTATTATAGATGAATGGATGTGTCAGTTATTATTATAGATCCATGGATGTGTCAGTTATTATTATAGATCCATGGATGTGTCAGTTATTATTATAGATCCATGGATTTTCCAGTTATTATTATAGATAAATG